ATGCGCCCCCCTATGTGTCGGAAGAGCTCCGGGCCCTGGGGATCCCCTTCGTGAGCCGTGGGGCCGGCTTCTTCATCTGGGTCGACTTGAGGAAGGTAATGCAGGTGGAAATGCAGGTGGTGGGGGCAGTGTTAAAGCTCCCTCCAGCAGGCAAGGGCAGGGGGTCTCATTCTGCATCCTGAGCGCCTTTCACCCTCCCAGTACCTGCCTGCGGCCACCTCTGAGGAAGAGATGCTGCTCTGGCGCCGCTTTTTGGATAACAAGGTGCTACTGTCCTTTGGCCAAGCCTTCGAGTGCAAAGAGCCTGGCTGGTTCCGCTTGGTTTTCTCTGACAAGACCCACAGGCTTCGCCTGGGTAAGCGGGCCACCTCCTAACTGCATCCTTCATTCTGCCCTCCCTCTTCTGGCCTCACCTGTGGCCCCAGCAGCCAGAGCTTGCTCGTCCCCACCCACCCAGCATCCGTGCTGACTCTCACTTCCCCTTCTCACACCCCAGGGATGCAGAGGGTCCGGCGGGTGCTGGAGGGCAAATCCCAGGTGGCAGAAGACGCCCCTTCCTGCTAGACCTAGGAGCCGAGGTGTCCGCACAGGTGAGCTGGTCGCTGTCTTGTGGCCACAGGGCCTGGCAGCCCCTGTGAAGACTGATGGTGGATGAGCCGTTTGCCAGGCAGATACCCTTCTTGGCCTTGCCCTTGAAGAACTGCTGCTTGCTCTCCCGGTGGCAGCGAGACACGCCTTAAGTCGTGGTCCATTCCCCTCCCCGGCTATTAAACAAAACCGGGAAATACTAGAAGCCTCTGCTGTGAGTCATTTACGGAACAGGGGGAGTCGTGACTGCTCCTTCCCACAGCCCTCAGCCCCCAAGGACATGAAAACAAACTACCTGTACCCGCTTTTGTTGCTGCCTTCATTCTTCTGTCTTTGTTGCCACAGAAACAAGTCAAAGGAGCAACACATGTTAAGAGAGCATTTGCCCCCCAAAGAAAAAAGAGTGATAATTTCTACAAGGAGGAAGGAATTAATTCTGTATGTTCAGATTACTCTCCCTGCACATAGGATGTGTGGGCCTACAGCACACCTGGGACCTGAGACCTGGGACATGGGACCAGCCCCCGCGTGGGCAGAGGTGAACGGGTCCCCGGCGGGAGTCAGGAGGGGCGACTCTGTCTCTGGGATACTCGTCTTCCTGGGAAGGAGCTGCCTTTACTGCTGGTCTCGAACCAGAGCAACCTAGCCGTGACTGTGCTGGGAGATGATGGGGCCCTGAACGGAGGCTCCAATGGGGACAAGCTCTGACCCAGGCTGGCCTTTCCACCTTAAGCATCAAAGGGCCGCTCACCCCTTCCCCAGGGGTGTTTTAGTTCAGAGACCCAGGGAGCTTTCTGAACCAGCCTTAAAGCTGTGGGCTGAGGACCCTTCTCAGGTGCCGACACTCCTGTTTGGAAAAGCTATCTCTTTCCCCTGTTCTTCTGTTTAGAGCATGTTGGTGAAATCAGCGTTTACTTTCTATAAACCATGCTCTATGGCTGAGGATTTGTCTTCCTCTTTCTGCCTTTCATTCATTCCTCCTTCCTCCCTGTCTTTTCTTGAATACCTTGTACGTGACGGACACTGTGCTGGGTAATTTACATGCATCGTTTCTAACTCTAACCACCGTGGGAAGCTGGCGTTATTAGCCCTCATTTTAGAGATGAGGAAACTGAGTCTCAAACAGATGAAATGATGTTTCTGAAGTTACATAGCTAAAAAGTGTCAGGGCCAGGATTCAAGTTCAGGTTGGTTTGGTTCACAATCTTTCCACTCCGCCAAACCACAGTCCTGAAGGATTCTTTGACTTTTCCAGTCCTGAGAACCAGGCATCGTGCTGTCATCGTTTCACCTTTCATTATTTTTCAGTATCATTGGCTAAGTAGCAGTCGTTTCTACTCCCACTTCCAGGATACGTTGATGCCAGGATTTGCTTTACTGGAATGCCTGCAGCTTTTCCGGAGGTCAGAACAGAATGGCCACGTTGAGGGCCCTACACGTCCTCTCCAGAGACCTCTGTTGTGACGCTGCCACTGTTGTTGAGGGTCCCCTGTGAAGGACCCATGTGATGAATTCCATTTAGAATTTTCAGAAGGATGACTCCTAGCTCTCCCTTAGAGGGAATCCAAGCAGGTTTCCTAGCAGAGGCTGACTAAACTAGGAATCTGGATCTGAACTGAGCTCATTGGTTTGTGTAGAGCTGGCTTGTGCTCTGCTGAATGGCTGTGTTCCATATGTCTCCCTTTCTGGAGCATGGACTGGACATATCCTACACCCACCCCACATCTTCTCTGCTCACCTTTCTGCTCTGCCAGTTACTACAGCCATCAGATTTTGTGTTCTCTCCTTCTCTTTTCCTCTGTGTGGCTTCATTTTCAGACATGCTCCATTCAGATGGTGGCAAGATGGCTTCCAGGCAGCTCCAGGTTACATGGTCCTTATAGCAGACACCTACAGGGTATTAGCAGGATAGACACCCTTTCTTCCTCAGCATTCATTTCTCTCCTGCCATAGGAGGCCAGCAGGCCTTACCTCAATCATCTGCCCATCCAGGGGAACCCAGGTTCTATTCATCTGTCCACTCTGCCATCCTTAGTGGGTTGGCTTTTCCCCTTCAAGCTTATTTCCTCATTGTCTCAATATGGCTACAGAAGCTCCAAACATCACCTCCTCACCAACCACTTCCAGACACAGAAAAGAGAGTATGTTTTTCTGTTGCCTCCTTTTCATTTTATTTCATTCATTTAAAAAATATTTGTTTAAGCCTCAGATTTGTAGGAGTTCTTTATATGTCTGGAAATGAGTATTTATTTTGCCAGATACTCTTCATTTATTAACATTCACTTTATCATTTTCTTTATTCTCCTCCTGAACATGGAAATGACCTTAGAACATTTAACTCTCACTCCTTTATTTTCATCTCCTGCCATATTGTTGACTAGTATTTTAGTTAATGCCTCTTTGTTGTTGTTGTAGTTGTTTTTTTCTTCCTCTGGAAATTGTGCTTTGAAAAGTCATGACACCCCCAGTTTGGTCGAAGACCTGGTCAAATAGAACCTCCAGTCCTGATGTGAATATTTCTAACAACAGTTCTAAGGCTTCAAGACTCTCAACAGGATATTAAATGTTTGACACCATGTTTTCTCAGACTCCATCACCCTAAGTCAAAATTTAGGGCATTGTTTTCCCATAAAGAGTCTGAAAAAGAGTTCAAAAGAAACTGAGAATAGTAGATGCCTATGGGGTAGGCAAACTGGGAGGATGGGAAACAAGGACAGGAGTGAGAATTTTTACTCTTTCTTTCACTTTTTTGGTTCTTCTGGGTTTGTTTTAATGCTTTTTGTTTTTATTTTATTTTATTTTTTATTTATTTATTTATTTATTTTTCCTTGCATTATGCGGGCCTCTCACTGTTGTGGCCTCTCCCATTTGCGGAGCACAGGCTCCGGACGCGCAGGCTCAGTGGCCATGGCTCACGGGCCCAGCCGCTCCGCGGCATGTGGGATCTTCCTGAAACGGGGCACGAACCCGCGTCTCCTGCATCGGCAGGCGGACTCTCAAGCACTGCGCCACCAGGGAAGCCCTGCTTTTTGTTTTTAAAACCACATGAAAGCCATATACAGTAAAAAGAGAAAGAAATTTAAAAATTCTATTTAGGGAAAGTACCTAGGAGAGTTACAGATACCATCTAGGTCTAGTACTGGTCTCAGATGTCTTTTGAGCTTCTGCTAAAACACTGCGTTCAATTAATTTTTAAAAACTGAAGTAAAGTTTACCTACAGTGAATTGGGCAGAACTTAACTGTAAGATTCAATGTCCTTGACGTATATATACATCTGTGTAACTAATATCCTATCCCCATCATGATGTGGAACAGTTCTGTTACTGCAGAAAGTTCCTTCAAGCTCTTATGTAAGTCTCCCAATCTCCTACAGGCAGCCACCACTCTGATTTCTAGCTCCATGCATAAAGTTTTCCAAAGGAATCATATAGCTGTTCACTTTTGTGTCTGGGTTATTTTGCTCAGCTTCCTGTTTAAGGGTTCATTTACATTTACATGTATCAGTACTACATTCTTCTCTTTTCTCTCTATGTAGTAATATCCCCTTTTCACTCCTAATAGTGGTAACTTTTGCTCTCTCTACTTTTCTTTTGGTCATGAACAGTCTTGTATTGGTTTTATCAATTTTACTAGTTTTTAACAATGAACTGTTACTTTTGTTAATTCTATTGTATTTTTGTTTTCTAATTTGTTAATTTCTTTTCTTTAGGTGTTTATGTGAGTACATGGGACCTATAATTTTTGTATAAAGGGAATATCATTATTTTTTGCTCCTTTCTTCTGCCATTACTTTTCCCCCCTCACCTGCCAAAGCTATTGTTATTCCCCAATTTAAAGAAAAAGTACAAAATATGTGCACCTTATTGTACATAAATTTTATCTCATAAGAAAAAAGGAACTGCAAAATATTGATCTCTAGTTAATGATATGCATTCAATAAAATATTCAGATGTAACTGCTGATATCTGCAACTTATTTTGAAATGTAGCAAAAAAAATGATGGATCAGCAAATGGATAGACAGACATGTGACAGTACTGTAAAATATTAATTGCATAATATAGACAGTAGATATATGGGTATTTGCTGCAAAATTCTTTCCATTTTTTCTTTTTTTCCTTTTTACCTTTCACCCCCTTCACCCATTTCTTTCACCTCTGGCAACTACCATTCTCTTCTCTGTGTCTATAAGCCAGGTTTTTTGTGTGTTTGTTTTGTTTTTTAGATTCCACATATAAGAAATATCATATGGTATTTGTATTTCTCTTACTTCACTTAGAAAAATGCCCTCGGGATCCACCTATGTTGTCACAAATGGCAGGATTTCCTTCTTTTCATGGCTGAATCATATTCCATTCATCTGTCTATAGATACTTAGGTTGTTTCCATATCTTGACTAGTGTGAATAATGCCGCAGTGAACATGGGGGTGATGCCTAGTTTTTAATCTCCAAATTTGTTGTTTTTATTTTTATAGTTTTATACAGCCAGTATTTGTTTTGATTTACCTATGGGTTTATCCATTTCATTACTTCTTTACTTCATCTCAGTACTTTCTTCTGGTTTTAATATTCTTTTTCCTGAAATACATCTCTTAAGAAATTCTGTTAGGGTTTACTGATGGTAAATTCTTTCTATCAGTGTTTGTCTGAAAATGTGTTCCTTTCCTATTCTTGAAGGATGGTTTCACTAGGTATACAATTGAAATTGACTGCTAGCTTCTTTTGGCACTTTTACCAGTATCTTATGACTTCTGTTTTTTGTTTTTGTTGAGAAGCCCACTGTTAGTCTTATTGTCCATCCATTACAGGTGATCATCTCTGTCCAATAATGGGAGATTCTTAGCGACTGTATCCTTGGAAACTGCTTCTATTGCATTTTCTCTGTTCCCTGCTTCTGGATCCATCCTGGGTTTTCTTCCTTTATTCTCCCTCTCTTTCAACCTCCCTGTCCTATATTCCATCTCCTTGTTTTTTC